AGAAGTGGGAAAAACGAATGTATTTCAAAATAAACAGCAATTAACAATGACCAAAAGCTCAGTTTATTAAGATTTTATTGTGATTGGTTATTAAGATTTTATTGTGATTTCATGGGACAAACGAACGTCAGGATCGCCAGAAGGCTGACCATAAAAGTAATGTATCACTGTTCAAAGCAAATGGAAATAGTTGGAATAATAAATAATAAATTTATAGTTGTTCCACGTATTTGAAAAGAAAAAATTTTAACAAAATAGGAAGAAATCAAAATTTGAGATTAGAATACAGAAAATTTTCAAACTTCAATCCAAAAAAGGATCGCCCTATTTCAATCTTAAACAAGGGCCATTTAAAAACATCCAAAAACTATCTATACTTTTTCACGAATAATAAGGAAAAGAAGCTGAAAATGCTTATGAGTTTCTTTTTTTTTAATTCTAACAGCGCCATTTCACTTAACAAAATACTTCGTTATGTAAAAATGGCAATAGCACCCATTTAAGCGAAAAACTAAAAAATCAAAACTAATTCCACATTTGCTTGCTACGAAAAGCACTCGGAAAGTAACTACAGCTATGGTATCTATGAAAAAAATTACATATCTGCGAAAAAAATCTCTTTTCCTTCCTTTTTTGTTCTAAAATTTCAAAAAAAATCCATTTTTTCTCCATTATGTTTCAACAGAATTATCCGTATCCATACTTTTAATTTCTTCAATGGCTTTGGCGAATCGTTCTTCAAATTGAGGTAGAAATTTTCGCCACCCGTTGTACTGATAATTGCATGTCGACCACTGGGGCTCAGATGAACGTAAGCAATACGGTCGTGCGTTGAAAGTGGTAGGGTAACATCTACAAAAATCACACAGAATCAGCTAAACGTTTCAGAAATTTTAAAGATACAAACAGTGAATATCCCTGGCCAGGAGACTGGAAGAGGACGAGGGCCTGAAATCGTCCGAGTGTTAACATAAGCAGTTTGTCTGGCGCTGTTGGCCCACTGTGGAGAGGAACACGATCGAATTTTGACAATTAATGAAAACACAGTGGAAGTGCCATTTAGATCTCCCAAATAAGCAAGCCTGTATTTGCAGTGACCTGGTAACCTGTCAGCCAAAGACTGTTTAAACATTAGAATTTCAAAAAATTTCCACAAACAGCTTGGTGTGAAGCCAGAAGTGGAGATACCTGAGGGGTTTTCTTGGGGCATAATAGAGAGGCAATCATATAGAAAATCGGCCACTACAGACAAAAATCATCACTAACCAATTTGTCGACTGACAATCTGAAGTGGATAATGAAGAAGCTGGCGAGCGCCAATTACCAACAGCATTTCACCATTGCTCGAGCAAAGATGTGTGATCTGACCTTTTGCTCTGAAAGTGTTTCTGATAAAATAATTAGACTTTTTTTTATCAATATGCAGTAATAAATTTTTGTAATATTTGTTGATAATCCTGGAAATCAGTTAGAAAATTGCTTATTATGCGTTTTGCGCTATGTAACAGCAGTACAAAACGCATATTGTTATGGGATTGTGCATGTGTGTGTGTGTCCGCAGCAACTTGTCCACAACTTTCAACTGCCTAGGAACCACAAAAGCTAGGAAGCTGAAAATTTACGGGAACGTTCTCCACCCAAGTGCGACCCAGCAAATTTAAATTCAGTCGCCCCGTACCCGCGGGTAATACGTGCAACCGCATAAAAGTTTAGGCGGGT